TTGATGGATCAGACACGAAGCATAAAATGGTCAGGTGTTGGGGAAGTCTTATGCCAATAAAGCACTGTCTGGCCAATAGGGAATCTAGATAGGAGGGACTAGGAGTCCAGAAGGATTCTGGGTAGGAGAAACACAAGAGAGTTCGAGATGTAACACCATGGGGTAGGAGCCCGGAACTATTCTCTGGTAAGAGAAATACTTAGATTAACAATTATGGGGTAATTACTTAAAGCAGAGCTAGCCAGTAAGAGATAAGCAAGGCCAACAGCTTCATAATTAATATAGCCTCCTGTGTGTTTATTTGGGACTGATGCAGATCTGGAACCAGGCGGGCGGGAAGGCTCCTCTCAAGGAAAGCTTCTCTTAACAGGGACAAAGCAAGGTCCTCTATCTGAAGGTCAGGGATGGAGGTATAATTTGAAGTGATGGGAAGACTGTCAGGGAAAGGGGAGGGGCTGGGAGACACGAGAGCAGTCCTGTAGATACATCCAAGGGTGCTAGATGAATGTTTATGCCTGTAGTGGAGACCTCTAGGGTGGAAAAAGGAATCTGGAGTTAATATATAGACAGTACTTACGACCACAGGACTGGATGCACCAATCGGGAAAGTCACTCAAGGATGAGCCCAGTGTCACTCCACTGTAGAGAGGTCAGTCGTGTGGTCAGACACCAGTCGAGAAACGACTTTGAAGTGTCAGTGAGGAGAATCGAGGCCTGGGGAGGTCAACTGTATCCTTTCTGCAGTTAGGTTGGGTATTGGGAGCCTGAGAGGTGATTGTAGGGTTTATTGGGTAGAAGTCATTGTTAGCCTTGTCCCGAGAGTATGCTTGATGGAGGAGTGAATGAAGAGAACAGCTTTTCCTCCAGCTAGACCTGACTGGGTCCCACAAGTTCAGGTACTTCATCTCTCCAGGAAGAGACAGATGTGTTTGACGAAGAAATGCAGGATTCTGTTTCATTTCATGCCTTTTCTCTCATGCTCTAAAAGTCCTCGTCAAGGCATAGGAAGTGGGAAAAAGCCAGGAAGTCCCACATCTCTGGCAGCTAGGCAGTCAGGAGTTAGCTATGTCCTTAGTCTTTCACAGACTCATACAGTACCTCAAGCCTTTCTGGGCAAATGAATCATCAGTTCCTAAAAAAAAAAGCTGGGCGTTGGTGGTGCATGCCTTTAATCCCAGCACTGGGGAGGCAGAGGCAGGTGGATCTCTGTGAGTTCAAGACCAGCCTGGGCTACCAAGTGAGTTCCAGGACAGCCTCCAAAGCCACAGAGAAACCCTGTCTCGAAAAAACAAACAAAAACAAAACAAACAAACAAACAAAAAAAACTTGACTTCAAAATTTGAGAAAAACACCTTCAAACTGACTTTTATGAAGGTAGTTCATTTTGGCAGCTGAAAGAAATCATATTTATTTATTAATGTGGTGGAGCTGGAGATGAAATTCAGGGCTTTGAGTACGCTAGGTGTGTTCTTTACCCCTGAACTACATTCCCAGACCAATAAAGCATATTCTTGAGATTATTAACTAACAGCATTGTTCACTAAAACCACTTCTTGCAAATTCTGGTGATTCAGACTCAGTTACTTCCATACAATGTCAGTGAATCTTAAAAGTGGCTAGAGGCTACTAGGGGTTCTCTGAAGAGAGGCAGATTTCTCACAAAGACCATCACCAGATAGCAGCTCTCCCTGTGCTCACAAAATGTCACTGGCATTTAAGAAACCAAATCCTCACAGTCACTGTACAAGAAAAGGGCTATTATCATACTCAGACGGCAGATGCAATCGTGATAATTATGGTTGGACGTTGGGAAAGACTGAAGGGACATCAGAGATGAACTGGGTATCTCTTTTCTGGAGTGGCCTGGTCCCTTTCAGAACATGACTCTGTTAAGTATGTTTAGCATTGTCCAAACTGGGGTGGGTCAGGTCAGGGAAGAGGTGCTGTAAATGATTGTCTTGGGACAACAGCATACATCAGGACAGCTGCCAGACACACCAGGATGTCTGCTTCCTTGAGCAAAGATGTAAGTTCCCATGTTCCATCCCAGACTTGGAGAATTGGCCCTCCAGAGTAGGGACTCAAACCCTGCCATATATGGGCATCAAGAGGACTCTCTTTGCTGTAAAGTGGTTCCTGGAGTCATACTTGGTTACTTCAGAATCATGCAGGGTCATACATGTACATATGCACACACACACACACACACAATCAATCAATCAATAAATAAAAAAGAAGGTATTAAAATACTGACTTGTGGGTTTGCCCCCCTTTTTGTTTGTTTGTTTTATTTTGTTTCCAAAAGGGTTTCTCTGTGTAGTTCTATTTGTCCTGGAAACTCAGTCTGTGGACCACACTGACCTCAAACTCAGAGGTCTGCCTGCCTCTGCCTCCCAAATGCTAGGGTTAAAGGCGTGCACCATCACACCTGGCCACTTTCCCAAACTGATTGATGTGAGGGATGTTTAGGTTAGAATAGACTCTGCTGGTTTTAGAAGTCAGTTTTCTGAAGGGTGGTCCTTGGAGCTACACCCAAAGCTGTGGTACAGGGAGTGTGACAGATACTCCTGAGAGAAAACCCTTTTTGTTCTACATTGTATCAGAACCACTGTTTTACCCTTAGGTGTGTCTTTAAATGAGACAAAATGTTAATCCCTTTTCATAAGGAGGAATCAAAACATAGAGTGAATAATTTATCAAAGGTCACATAGATGCAAATGGGGAGAGGAGCTAGACTCTACCCAAGGGCTGCACAAATGAAGCTAAGTTCCACTCATATTTCCAAAAGACCTTTCATGAGACAGCCATTAAAGACGCATCAGAGACGTTCCATTAAAGAGAATTGTCTCATCCCTTGGGCTGCTTTCTCTGGTCATTCCAGTGTGTGTGTGTGTGTGTGTGTGTGTGTCTTAGGATGAATGTTTTATCTGTCCATTTCTGTCATCCAGAGAAGAAATATTCTATTTTCATGGCCTATTCTGGGTCATTTACTTTGCTTCCTTTTATTTCTGCACTTGTGTGAGCCCCTCTGCAGGGGCAGAAGGAACAGGCAGAAGGTTAACCATCCATTGGGTATGTTGAGGAAGTGTGACCTAGACCTTCCATCAGACAGAAACTCCATTCTACACACTTTACGGGACTACAGGGTAATCATTTGGTTGATGGCTGTGCAGATATGAATAACTGTCACTGGACGGCCTCATTCAAGACTCCTGAGAGGATACGTGGGGTCAGTCTGATCCTTCACTCTGGCACGGAACCCCTCTGCAACATGCCAGGTGGATGTCCTTAAACCTGGGACAAATGGCTAACTCTGCTTTTCTGCTGCTACCCCTGTGGTAATCTCAGAGAGCTGTCCTCAGCTGTAGCTGGCTCTTTCAACGTTGATCTGAAATTGCCCTCCCCTACTCTATGGGATCCTCTTTTGCATCTGAATCTTTCCAGTATCTTTTCTGTTATTTAAACCACAATTTAAATGAACAACAGTAAGCTTTGATTTATTCTAACTTTTATTTTTCATTTATTTTTGAGATAGGGTCTCACTAAGCCCAGCTGGCCTCTAACTGTTTGTGTTTCTGCCTGCATCTCTAGAGTACTGATAATACAGGTCTGTGCCTAGCTTTTGTTCTAATAGTTAAAGAGTACATTTAAAGTAATGCATCACTAACATGATGAAGGCATGTGCTCCCATCTCCAATACCTCTCCTATCCCTGTGTGTGTCCCTGTAGTGGAGATCAACTCTGGTCCATGGACATGCTCAGCACAGGTTCTACTACTGAGCTATGTCCCCAAACCTCAGACTGAATGCCCTGAACTCCTGTCTCCTCCCACCTTATATAGGTCTCTCTGTCCAGGAGTATCACTCCTGTCTGTACCTCCCTAGTGCTGGGATTAGAGGAGTGTGACTCCCAAGTGCTGGGATCAAAGGTGTGAGTGAGTTCTGTTTCTCTTTTAGACTGATTCAGTCTCATTTAGCTCAGGGTGGCCTTAAACTCACAGGGATCCGTCAGCCTCTGCCTTCCGAGTGCTGAGTGCTGGAATTAAAGATGTGTGCCACCACTGCCTGATCTCTGTGGCTAACTAGTGGCTTAGGTCTGCACTCTGATCTTCAGGCAAGGTCTATTTGTTAGATCACAAACAAAATCTCACCACACTTGAGCTTGAATGTGAAGAACATTTACAAACTGTGCATATGAACTGTGTAACTTGAGGCAACAAACTTTCTAAGATCCATTTCCTGTTCTGTAAAACGGGATGAAGGATGGAGTGAGCATACAGGATGCATTGGGTAGTTGATAAGCTAACATTACTGAACCATTGGTATTTAGTACTCAGGTGCTATTTCAACCTACATTCCATGCTCTAGCTCACAAATCCAGGTTTGTTCAAGGACTCTGATCAACAGGCTTCCTACCCTTTGGATGATGTCCATAGCAATCCGCTTTGCCTCTGCTCAACCAAAAACTCACTGTCAGATATGCTGGTGGCACAGGCTGTCACTTAGGAGGTTGAGGCAGGAGAACAGTCACAACTTCGAGGTCAGGTGAGTACGGGAGAGGGAGAAATGTTTCGCAAAAAGCCGAGCCAAGCCAAGAATCAACAAAACAAAAAACAAAAGCCCCTTGCATTTCGGACCTCGCACCACGAAGCCTTCCACACCAATTATTGAAGACAAAGGCAGTGAGTGAGCTTAGGCTTTCTAACATTCACAAGAGGTGAGAGAGGATGACCTCACTGGTCCTCTGAAGTAATTAAAGGTTAAAGGTAGTTTTGGACATCGCCCAGGCTCTAAGAACCCTGAGTCCCAACCTTCCTGTCATTTGCATTCCAATGTAGCCACCTCACCGGTCCAGCCCCACCCGCAGGCGACTCTGGCAGCCAAGTGGACGCGGGCCAGCCACCAGAGCTGCGGGCAGGCGGTGCTGAGCCAGGTGGCCCGGGGTGGGGCCTGCGTAAAACGCTCCAAGGGGGCGTGTCCTCCTGTGGGCGTGGCCTCCCGCAGGTGCGTCCAGGGGCTCCGGTTTCACTGAAACGAATCCCTCTCTGGGAAAGCTCAGTGCTGCCCGCTTTAGGAGAAGGGGACCTGGCGCTCCGAGTGGGGCTCTGAGTTTCGAACCAGAGGTGGCGGATTCCCTGTCCGCCCGACGTCGGGGCTGCTGCGAGGATGCGAAGTCTGAGCCTAGCTTGGTTCCTGGCAGGCGTCATCCTTCTGGCGGCCTCAGTCTCCTGCAACCGGACCTTCCAAGGTGAGGACCTTGTACCGGGAGGGCTCGGGCAGCGGGGGAACGCTCTCGGTTCCTGGTGGAAGCCGGGCAGGCGCGCACTTCTCCGCGCACCCCTAGACTCTCAGTGGCTTTGATCGGGAGCCCTGGGCATTCATCTGGGACACCCTGGGAGTGCCCCCCAAGGACGTGCTAGACGCAATCATGGTCTGGGCACTTCCAGTTTCTACCTGTCGGTGTGGTTCGGGGGAGGCAAGGAAGGAGCGTCCGCGTTTTGGGGTACTTTGAGGATTCAGCCCCTCCTTCCTCGGGTCGTTTCTTTGCAAACACTGAGTCATTAAGAACTTTTTGCGGACCCTGTGAACTACCTCCGGTCGGCCTGGTCCTACTGGACCCCTGGATTATAGTCAGTTGATGGCTCAAGGCCCGCTGGAGTGAGTGAGAGCCCGAACCCTGGGAAGTGCCCACCTTGCGTTTTGCGCTCGCACCCACCCACTGAACCCTTTCCTTGGGGATCGAACCACAGCGTTCAAGACCCACTCCCGACCGCACTTCCTGGCATCGCGGTGGATGCGCTGGGTAAGCCGCTTTGGGTGTCACGTGGTGGTAGAAGGGGAACTTTCAGGACCCCCTATACGATCAGGTGACGTTCTAGTCTACATATTTCGAGACCTTCCCGCCACCCGGCGCACACTCTGGCAGCCATCCAGGACTAGAGCTGAGGCTGCTAAGCCCCAGGAACAGTACTGCAAGAGAGCGGTCCAGGGCGGCGCTTCGGTGCCAGCTTGCGCCCGGCTGGCGGTTTGGGCGGGTGTGCTGCTCCAGTTGAGCTTTAACTGATTCTTCTAGAAGCCTTGGAGGCCACTTCAGTCTAAGGTGGGATGGGCTGAGCTAGGGTGGGGTTTACAGCCAGCGGTAGAGCAACTGTAATGCAAAACGAGACCTGGCGTTTTCATTTCCCCCGTTAAGCGCGCAGGTGTCCTGTAAAAGATCATTTCTCACTTTTAACCCTCCGGTAGAGACGTTGTCGAAGAATGTGTAACCCCTCTTCGTTTGCCTGTTATAACGCCGGGCGTTGGTGGTGCACGCCTTTAGTCCCAACACAGAGGATCTCTGTGAGGCCAGCCTGGTCTACAGAGTGAATTCCAGGACAGCCAGGAATGTTTCAGAGAAACCCTATCTCGAAAAACACAGACAGACAGACAGACAGACAGACAGACACCCTCCCCCCCCAAAAAAAAAGGAAAAAGAAATTTAAAATTCAGGGCAAAGGTTAGTGTTACAATTTTTCTTAAAAAGTGGTTGGAACTGATTATAAGTCCTTTTATGATTCATACATGATAGGAAGCATACCCTGATTATTTGGCTCCCTTTGTTTACAGAGTGAGGGTGTTTGGAAGGGAGAGGTTCCTGGCCTATACTGTGAACTTGATTTAACAATTAAAAAAAAAATCAGGTTACTTGTTAACCTGAGCTACTTAATATCCCACCTTGGTTTTCCTCTGTGCATTCTTAACGCTCCATAGCCGGTAACTTTCCAAAAGAGTTAGTCTAGTAACAGTTTTCCTCCCAATTAAAATTAATTTTGGTTAGGGACACCAGGTACCTTGGAAGCATTTCCCGCGAGTGTACGGACAGCTTTGCTCACGGCGCTCTGGTGGGTCTTTCTGTGTGCCCTTCGATTTGTGAAAGAGCAGACTGGATTTGGTTTTCTCCACCGCCAAAAGATTGCTTCACAGAAAGGGTCCCAACCTAAAAAACAAAAACAAAAAACCCAAAAAAACCAAAAAACAAACCTGATTTTTGCAGGAGGGGAGGGGCACTGAACTTACAATGTAACATTTTTAAGTCAACTTGTCTCCAACACAGTCACTGTTACTATCTACCTCCTTTCATCTTCACATTTATTTGCTTTTTGATTTCTTGTCATGTTGGGCATCTAACCCTGGGCTTTGCACTGGCTAGGGCCTGAGATACTTATGATGACACAGTCAATTCATTTCAGTTGTACTGACTGGTTCTTTCCTGTTTTTGGGGGTTCTGTTGTTTGTGGGTTTTTGTTCTGTACCTCTTCTTTTTCTTTGCAATAGTCTCGCTGTGAATCACTGGCTGGCCTTGGAATTCTCTGTGTTGACCACACTGGTTTTGAACTTGCAGCAATTCTCCTGAATGATGGCATTACATGTACCACCATTCCAGACAGAATTTTTTTTAGTTTAATTTAAAAAATTTTATGTGCATTGATGTTTTTGCGAGCATTCACATCTGTGTGAGGGTGTCAGATGCCCTGTTACAGACATTGTGAGCTGCCACGTGGGTGCTGAGAATTGAACCTGGGTCCTCTGGAAGAGCAGCCAGTGCTCTTAACTGCTGAGCCATCTCTCCAGTTCCTGACACCATTTTTTTTTTAATTATAAAAGTAATGTGTGGTCACTGCAAAGGAAAAATAGAAAGAGGATAGATGAAAGAAGAGAAATGTACTGCAATCACCCTAAACATTGGTACTTAAAATAGCCACTACTAACATTTTGATTGATTTCTTTCCCATGCTTTTGTACATGAAAAATGCATAAAATATACATTCTGAAATATAGAAAGTCTTGTATGTGTATGGGGTTTTATTGTGTTAAGGTCAGTAACACATTTTTAATGGCCTTAAAACATGAACATATATATACACACACACAGAGCCCCCCACCCCACCCCCATTTATTGGGAACTAACCCTTGGGTCCTCCTGTGTGTTAGCGAAACACTAGGTAACCCAGGCAGGCCTTGAACTTTGGACTTTACTTCCTCTTCCTGAGTAGCTTCAATTACAGACCAGCACCGGGGAGCCTGACTTTTTAAATCAGTGTTTTGTGAATGGATGCAAGGGATGTTCCCAAAGCCTTGTGGTATGGAAGAACTGTGAGTGTGGGGATGGGACCTTGGCTTGGTCCCTGGCTTTCCCTATGTTACTAATTAACCTTGGAAGCTCGTATCTCGTGAAGCCTGTATTTGACTTTCTTATGCTTTTATTATCTCGACAAATGTGGAGGAAAACAGTCTTGGGGGGGAGGCGGGGACACCAGTTTATGAAGTTTGCTTAAAAAAAAAAGTGTACCTAGAGAGGCATGATCTGCAAGTGAACCCTTTCCTTTTTCAGCCCGTGCTCCCAAAAGTTGGTAGCAAAAGAACTTTGGGGAGAGGAGCCTGAGAAAGCGCCACCATGTCCACCTTGAGCTGAAGTCCTTTAAACAACAGAGGGACCCTCCTGCAATAACTGTCCTATGGCTCATTTGTGTTTTGAAAATAAATGTATTTTTGGTCAGAAGATAGACTTCTGTCCATGCTTTCGTAGGAGAGTTACAGCTCTCATAAACTATAGGAATTGGTCCCCTTTTTGACCCCCAGATGCTCATTTTGTTATACCATGGTAAACAATGGTTCAGCAAATGTCCTCCACAGCACTGCCAGTGTGAGACAGATCCCTGAAGTAAATCACAGCTCACAAGACAAGCACATTTTAACTTTTGGTACATTTGCCAAATTACTTTCAGCAAGACTGTATTAGTTTACAGTCTTTGTGGCTGGACACCCAACACAGAAAGGTGAAAGAATGTGGCCCTTCCCCAGCCATTGTACTTCAAGGAAACAGACATTTTTTATAGCTTGGTGAGTTTTCCTAGATTTAAGAATTTGCAAATTAGAATCCAGATCCACCCGCCTCTGCCTCTCAGAGTGCTGGGATTAAAGGCGTGTGCCACTACTTCCTGGCAGTGTTAGATTCTTATTATGCAGATGAGAATGTATTAGTTTATCTTTTTGTTGTTGTAGTTTGTCTCTTTTCGGTTGACAGTGAATTTCCTGTAGGGAGGTGAGTGTCTATTCTTAGGGCTAGGGATACCATGAATTAGGAACAAGGCTGATAACAGACCTGTTTCCTGTTTGTCAGTCACGGGGCTGGGTGTTGCCCATAGTTCATTGGTGGGTGTATTTGTATGCTTGGCAGGAGCTGTTGATTGTAGCCCTAGAAGTCAGACCCCTCAGAACCAGGTACTCTGTATGTGTCCACACTTCATATATTCATTACAATCTCTGCTCAGTTCTAAAACACTGTGCCTGGTTTACAGCTAGACTCTGGGATAGCAGCAGCTCAGTTCTAAAACACTGTGCCTGGTTTACAGCTAGACTCTGGGATAGCAGCAGTTTGTACACAATACAGAATGGGCGGAGCCCACACCTCAGGGACCTTTGAACAGTGTCACAGAATGGCTTAGTGTGAACAGCTGGTACCGTTTACTTGTTTTGCTACAAGATCTCACTGTATAGCCCAGACTTGCCTGGAACTCATGATCTTCTGTCTCAGACTCTTTAGTGCTGAGTTTGAAGGTGGGACTCCCAGCTCTATTTTGTATGTGTGGTGGGGGTTGGGAACATGGACTGGAACTCAAGCTCTGACTAAGCTATACTTTTACCACTGAGCTGCATTCCAGCCCTTAGAATTGTATGTCTAGGTTGGATCTTGGGATAATCTAAGGTTTATGCCTTCTCCTATTTCCACTATTTTTTCTTCCTCCTGCTTTTTTTAAAAATAGTGTTTATTTTTAGCCTAAACAACATTTCTTGTGTTAAAAAGTCTTTCCTTGTTCCTCTTTATTTTAGCATTCTTACTTAATGTGTTTTTTGGCTACACATTAGGCTATATGAGACCATTTAACCCTTTGGCAGTAGACCCTTATTAGTGAATCCAAACAATTTGCATACTATACAATTAACCGGTCTAAAGAGAGTTCAGTGGCTTTTGGTATACTTACAGAATTGTGACTATCATTGTGGTCATTTTGAGTACATTTGATTACTGGCAAGAAGCACCCCCAATTGCCAAGTACCATTCCATTGTGTGGACAGTCCTCATTTTGTTTATTTGTTCCACTGATGGACATTTGGGTTGTTTCCGATTAGGGCTATTATAAATACTACTGCTTTGAGGGTCCGTGTGCAAGTTTTGTGTGGACATGTTTTCCTTCCTCTTGGGTATTGTCCTGACTGATCTTCATTACATCATGGCTGGATTAGACTCACCGCAGAAACACACCTCCGGGTGAATCTATGAGCATGTTTTCAGAACTGTTTTAACTAGGAGGGAAGGTCTATCCTGAATGTGCACATCACTGTCCCATAAGCTGGAGTCCCCAGTCTGAATACACGGGGGAAGCAGGCGGCCACAGCCTTCACCTCTGCTGCTGCTTTCCTATAGATGAAGTGTGATGACCTGCCTCACATTCCTGCTAGGGGCCAAGATAAACACCTCCTCCCTCAGTTATGTGCAGTCAATCCTAGCAACAAGAAAACTAAGGTTCGTGGGAACACAGCCAGAGCTGCCAACCTGCAGCCTGGAAAAGGAACCATGCTGGGACTCCCATCACCAATTTTTATACTTCCCATACACCACAACTGTGAGGAATGCTTATGTTCAGTATAAGCCCCTCCCCCTTCCCATCTTCCCACCCCTGTGTGTGTGTGTGTGTGTGTGTGTGTGTGTGTGTGTGTGTGTGTGTGTGTGTGTGTGTGAGAGAGATAGTACCTGGGGAGACCAGCAGACAACTTGTGGGACTTGTTTGTCTCAACCACATGTGTTCTGGGGTTGGGAGTCAGGTGAGCAGACTTGGCACACCAAGCACCTTTACCCATGGAGCCTTCTTGTTGCTTGTAGTTGCTCATCCCTTATCTCTTTGTCACATCTGCCCAGATGTACTTTGATCCTGATGAGGTCAGAGTCCAGCCCAGCAGGGTTTCTTCAGAGCGTCCAATCATCTCTTGTTGTGACCCTGGTAGCTATAAACAGGTAATGTCTAGGCCTGGAGACCTTCCTTTCTAGAGAACATTATGTAACTTTCTTGGGGAACTGAAGAAAATGGAGCGTCTTTATGAGAACTCTAAGATCCAGCCACTGCCCACAGAAGTTCAGGGTAACTCACTGTGGTGCTTGGAATGAGAGTGCCCCCCACAGGCTCAGATATTTGAACACCCGTTCGCCAGTTGGTGGCGCTGTTTGGGGCGGTGTGTGTGGTGTTGCTGGAGGAAGCATGTCTTTTGGGCAGTCTTTGGGATTAAAGGTCTCTGCCAGTTTCAATTTTCCCTCCCAGCTTCCTGCTTGTGTTTGAAGCTGTGAGCTCTGTTCTGCTGCCATACCTGTAGCTTGCCACCAAGCCTCCCCACCATGATGCTTTCTGATCTCTCTGAAACTGTAGATCTAAATACATTTTTCCTTCTATAAGTTTTATCACAGCAATAGAAAAGTGACCAGTACACCCACTGAATCAGTACCTGGTGGGCTGTTTCGGGCCTGGATGCCTTTGTCTGCTACTCACAGGATCCAGCTGTGCTATACCACCCTCCGAGCAAAACCATGGATTCTAGTAGTGAGCTAAGGCTAAAGTGTAATCTCCCTACCTGTTTAATTTGGGGACATTTACTGAGCTTACTAATTTATGCCTTAGTGTGCCTATCTATAAAATAAGGACATAATACTACTACTTGCCTTGTCTGGTTTGTTGTGGTGTGATATCCATGTGTACAGTGCTGACAACAATACCAGACCCACGGTGAGTGGGTGTCAACCTGTATGTGGCCACCCTTGATCCTGTGATTCTTTGAGGTTGTATGTGTGGCCTCGGCACTCACTGTTCCAGTCTGAGGTCCTGTAGAGACAAGTAGAGGAGCTGTGGCTTTGGATCCCCCTCTGTTCTTCCATGGATATGGGTAGCTGAGCACTGTAATCTAGGGGTGTGTCTGGACTGTGCCAGAGGTTGAGAGACTCTAAAGGGAGTGTGTCACTATGCTCGAACTAAAGACGCCTTTAATCCTATGTAGGTTGCCTTGCAATTGTTGAGTCGTGGTCAAAAACCAAATCTAAAAACACATCATCACTGTTTTCTTGAGGTGCTTCGGAAATTAGTTTGTAACTTTGAAAAACACTTCAACATGCATTCTGTGTAATAAGGTTAATTCCTATTTTGCGAAACAATATTTCATTATGGACCCATGTACTGAGTGCTAGGTTACCAAGCAGGACATATTTTTCATGAAGTCATACAATTGAGTGTCTGAAGAACATTGTAATATTCAGGAATAATCTTTTTGTGACACGTATCCCAGGCTGGCGTCAAACTCGCTATGTAGCTGAGGATAGCCTTGAATTATGGTCCCCCTGCCTCTACCTCCTGAGTGTTGGGATTACAGTGACTGAAGCACTCTACCAAGTGAGCTACATCCCTACCTCTTTGGCAACAATTGTTTTATTTTTTAGTCAATTAATTAGAGCCAGAATCTCTATGTAGACTAGCTGACCTCAAAATCACACAGTTGTGAGCCACCATGTGGATACCGGGAACCGAACCCAAGTCCTCTGGTAGAGCAGTCAGTGCTCCCAAAGGCTGAGCCACCTTTACCTTCTTTAAAGTCCATTGTCATTAGATCAAAGGCCTGACTGGATAATCCAAGAAGATGTTTGTTTGTTTGGTTTGGTTTGTTTTTTCAAGACAGGTTGTCCTCTGAGTAACTTTGGATCCTGTCCTGGATCTCGCTCTATAGCCCAAGCTGGTCTTGAATTTACCGAGATCTATCTGCCTCTGCCTCCTGAGTGCTGGGATTAAAGGCGAGTGCCACTACCACCCTGCCCAAGATGGTGTTTTTTAAGATTGTTAGGGCTGCAAAGTTCCTTGTCTACTGGGCATTAGGACACGGACTTCCTTCTTTTGGGCCTAGGGCTCCTTTGTTTTTCTGCAGTAAGTGGGAAATGAACTGTTGGTCTCTGTAACCTCCAGTGCTTCTCCACCCCCCTTCACTGTCCTACCTGGAGAGACCTTCCCAAGAGAGCAGTCCTGCAGGACCTGAGTCTGGAGCTGGAGCATCAGGTGATGGCTGGGCATGCATAAGGTTAGGGAAAGTCAGGAGAGGTCTACTGTCTTCCTTGGTACATGAGCAATGTGCAGCATTTCCTCATGGCAGGGGCCTCAGGCTCATCACTAAAGTCAAACTTCTTTCGTGCCCTTTCCTCCTTCAGGTCCATGAGTGCACACAGGTTGGGGCAGGATGGAGAAGGGGTGTGTCAGCCATTGCTGCTGGGTTCAGTTCTGCTGTGCTTTGCCTTTGACGGGAGCTCACCATGACACCCGGGCTGCTCTCAAATTCCTAAGCCAAAACAATCCATTCCCCTCAGCCTTCTAAGTAGCTGAGACACTGTGGGCGTGCGCTCCCATACCCAGGTTTACCTGTGGTTCTGCTTGATCAAGTCATACAATGTGGGCAAGCACCGAGTTAAAGCTTGCTGTTACATGCTTGCAAGTCAAAGTCAGAGCGCACATGTATCATCGGTACAGCGATACTAAAGGCTTGCCTGCCAACTGATCTCCGTGGGAGGGTGTTTATAAAGCCAGCATAGAGGTGGGAAATGCCTACCTAAATGCCTGCCCATTATAGTAGTGTATTTCTTGTGGGTGGACAAAGGGACGTCCCTATGGTCCTAGAATCTCCCTAAGCTGGTCTCTGGGATCGGGCATTCCTGACAAGGCAGGGCTTCTGTATTATACTCTAGATCAGTGGCTTTCAATCTGTGGGTCATGACCCCATTAGGGGTCGATTGGCTCTTTCACAGGGATCACATATCAGATATCCTGCATATCAGATATTTATATTATGATTTATAATAGTAGCAAAATTACCATTATGAAATGACAATGAAAATTTTATGATTGGGAATCACCACAGCATGCAAACTGTATTAATTAAAGGCATTAGGAAGGTTGAGAACCACAGCACTACAGATTCTGGAAGAGTTACCACACAATTCTGGACTGATTTTGTTGTTGTTTTAAACTAACTGATGGGTATGTGATTAAATAACAGAACTAATGAGTGTAGCTATTTTTAAAAAGTAAACTGAAATACTGTCAGCTTTAAGATTCCTAGAAGTCAGCCGGGTGTTGGTGGTGCACGCCTGTAATCCCAGCACCCAAGAGGCAGAGGCAGGCAGAGCTCTGAGTTCAAAGGTGAGTTCCAGGACAACCTCCAAAGCAATACAGAGAAACCCTGTCTTGAAAAACCAAAAAAAGAAAGAAAAAAAAGAAAGATTCCTAGAAGTCAGTGTTCTACATTTCTATATGCAACCCCAAACTCCCACAGTAAAAACAAAGTCTCATCTCTGGGCCTGAAGATGTAGTTTAGTGATATAATAATTGCCTAGCATGCACAAGAATTAGAATTCAGCAGCCGGCAACCTGCTCTGCCCAATACCGCTACTCAATGAAAATATTATTTGCAATCCTCTAATAACATCTGTTCGTGTTGGTCTGAAAATTTTCATTTAAGCAAAGCAGCCCTGTTGTTGGACCATATATCTCAGTAATGACTCTGCTCTGCCTTCTTTGTACAGGACCCAACAGTAAAGGAAGAAGTCTTATCGGCAGATTGAACACCCCTCCTCCAATCTCTGGGGAAGGAGTTACAGCAGACCCAGGCTTTTCCATTGATGAGTTCTCTACATCGGTCCTCACTGGGAAGCTGACTACTGTCTTTCTTCCGGTCATCTACATCATTGTCTTTGTGATTGGTTTGCCCAGCAATGGCATGGCCCTCTGGGTCTTCCTTTTCCGGACGAAGAAAAAGCACCCTGCTGTGATCTACATGGCCAATCTGGCCTTGGCAGACCTCCTCTCTGTCATCTGGTTCCCCCTGAAGATTGCCTACCACCTACATGGCAACAACTGGGTCTATGGGGATGCACTTTGCAAGGTGCTCATTGGCTTTTTCTATGGCAACATGTACTGCTCCATCCTCTTCATGACCTGCCTCAGCGTGCAGAGGTACTGGGTGATAGTGAACCCCATGGGGCACCCCAGGAAGAAGACAAACATTGCCCTTGGTGTCTCCCTGGCAATCTGGCTCCTGATTTTTCTGGTCACCATCCCCTTGTATGTCATGAAGCAGACCATCTACATTCCGGCCTTGAATATCACCACCTGTCACGACGTGCTGCCTGAGGAGGTATTGGTGGGGGACATGTTCAATTACTTCCTCTCCCTGGCCATTGGAGTCTTTCTGTTCCCAGCCTTACTTACTGCATCTGCCTACGTGCTCATGATCAAAACACTCCGTTCTTCTGCCATGGATGAACACTCCGAGAAGAAAAGGCGGAGGGCTGTCCGCCTCATCGTCACTGTCCTGGCCATGTACTTCATCTGCTTCGCTCCGAGCAACCTCCTGCTCGTCGTGCATTATTTCCTAATTAAAAGCCGAGGCCAGAGCCATGTCTATGCCCTCTACCTTGTCGCCCTCTGCCTGTCCACCCTCAACAGCTGCATCGACCCCTTTGTCTATTACTTTGTTTCACAGGATTTCAGGGACCATGCCAAAAACGCGCTCCTCTGTCGAAGCGTCCGCACTGTGAAGCGCATGCAGGTGTCCCTCAGCTCCAACAAGTTCTCCAGGAAATCCAGCTCTTACTCCTCAAGTTCAACCAGCGTTAAGACCTCCTACTGAGCGGTGTCAAGCCTGCTGGATGGCGTGTGTGCACGAGGGGTGGGAATGCACCCACACTGGGCTGTCCTTTTCTGACCAAGCTGGTCTCAGCACTGATCACAAGTGTGGACATCAGTATCGGGTTTCTGCTGCTCTGATGTCCTGGAAACTGAACGAACTTAGAGAAGCAAATTTTATGGAGAAGGCAGAAATCCAGTGACTTGCAACAGCTACACCCGGCAAGAAGACTAAGTTCCTAGCTGAAGCAATTTCTTCTACAACTGGTCCACCGCAGCTTTGAGAGGACCCGAGGCCCTTGTAGAGCTCCAATCCAGTTGGTTGGCTCTTCAGATGTGGACAAGACTGTGAATGAATTTCCAGAATTCTAACCAGCAACGGTGAGTTTGCACTGGACAACAGAATCCGAATGCCTAGTGGGTGCAGTCTCATTTCATCAGAAGTCCTGGGGATCTTGTACAAAGTGCAAGTCCCTCAGCTTCAGCAACCAGAGCTCAGATTCGAGGGGGCCGCTCTGCAAACCTCAGCGATATCTGCATGCACAGATCCATGGAGCTGAACCTGCTTCTGCCCACCAGGACACCATAGTAACGTTTGAAAAGGAAAACCAATAGCAATGTTTTGGGCCTCTTTATGGTCAGGTTATTTTGGAATTTGCCTATTGGTTTATTGGGATTTTTGTTTCCTTTATTACTCCTTTGTGGTTTTGTATGTCTATTAAAACAGAATGAGGATTTTGAACAAGGAAATACAATTTTTGTATAATTTTTTTACTTATGTCAGTGTGGGTAACAGTATTTTGCCAACTGCAAAGACATTTACCACTTAGTGTTTTTTTTCTAAGTTACATTTTTACACTCTATCATGCAAACTTAAGACATTTTCATGATAATGCATCGTTATAGCAACAGTCCCCCTCCCCATCAATCATATTCCCTCTCCCACACCTCCTTTTCCCACCTGAATGCCCCCTGCTTTTCCTCCCTCTCCACCGAATAGCCCTCTGTCTGCTCTCAGGTACCACTTGGTATTTTTAAAAAACTATTGTTGGAATATTTATTGTCAGTTTTATTCACCTGTTATCAAATATGAAATTAAAGCCTGCACATCTGTTTGGGAAAAAAAGCAAATAAGAGGCTACAACCAATGCAGAGGCACATGACTCCAGACTTAGGTTATAGACTGACTGCATTTGCGACCTTAAAAAGTATTTTGTTGTATGACTGATTTATAAATAATATGTGAACTTTTAAAAAACAACTTCTTTCAGGCTGTGTGTTTATTTGTATGAAGGAGGGAGAAGAAGGGAAAATCCTGCCATTCTAAACATGGTGTGCTGCCCACCCCCAAACACACACACACACACACATACACACACACACACACATCTTTTTTTACAGTTGTTTTTGTTCCTTTGAGATGGGTTCCTCTGTGTAGCCCTGGCTGTCCTACAACTCTATAGACCAAATCACCTGCCTCTGTCTCCGCCAACATTACCTACTTTTTTATTTTTAACACCCCTAGAGGTCTAAACCTGGCCTCACATCATTTTTTAAATAAACACAAAAATGGGGTTCATGTTGGTCTGCAATGCCCACTTTTCATTAATTCATATATTTTAACCTTTTCATGTGTTTCTACAACTTGGCCTCCATTTTTAAAGCTTATAGACTAGTAGTTCAGATGTATTATAATGTGTATAGTCATTTCCCTACTGGATGGCTCCTTGAATTACGCTATCCCATGTTATTTTTTTCTTTTTGGCTATTTCAACATTACTTCATTGTACATCTGTATGTAGACATCATAATTGTAGTGAGACGTCCATCCCACCCACACCTGTAGCACTGACCATGCCCGTTATGGCGTGGTCACAGGTGAAGACATGGGAGGATTAGATCTGGGGTCTGGGACCCCAGACCTCTCTTGCTTCCGTCATATCCTTTCTGACATCAAATCTCACATGGGAATCATGATTCACTAGACTCAGTACAGGCTAAATGAAGTTTATTCGGGGAGAATGCACTTATACACGAGGCAGGTAACCGCCGCAGGTTCCTGCTCCAAGGATCCTTCCAGGCTGTTCCCTGTGACCGGACCCAAGCTCTGGGTTCTGGGACCCTAGATCTAGTCTTGCCTCAGTCACATCCTCACATCCAAAAAGGGTGTGGTCAGTGCTACAGATGTGGTCGAGATGGATATCTCACTACACATCATGGAGATTCACTTTACTTTTATTGAGACAAGGAACTTGGTATGTAAACCATGTTGGTCCCTTAAATACACAGATCCACCTGCCTCTGCCTCTGGAGTGCTGGGGTTAAAGGTGTGTGCACCACTGCTAGGCAGTTTTTGCCTCTTTTGCCCCTGAAGAGTAGCTTGGAACCTGGTCTTGAATTAGACCCTTGGTGGAGAAAGAAGGCGCAGAGACACCTTGGATGTGGCCGTCTTTGCTTCTGTGGGCAGCACTGTATCATCTGATATGTGTGCAGGATCCCAGTCTAAACCAAGAATGAACATTCTGTTCTCCCCAGGTTCATTTACTAAGAGGGGCCCTTAATTTGAAAGCAAATGTGAACTTGTCTTGCTGTTCAGACCAAAATATGAAGCTGTCTTCACTGGAGTGATTTTCCCCGAACATTTCCTTGTATTATTTATTTATAGCAGGAGTTACAAAGTTGTAATTAATTTCCTGGTTATCAAGATTTCATAAACCCTGGGGTTATAATCTCATCTGCATGCATACTTCAGTGATTACAACTTTATTTCAGAAGCTTTAACCCTTTGAGAGGTTCTGGAAAGAACTAGAATATATTAGAGTCAAGGGTAGTCATTTTTAGTTAGCCCTTGAGTTTGGCTGGAGGGCTTGGCTGTCTTTTAAAAGTGAAGTTCTAGCTGGGTGTGGTGGTGCACGCCTTTAATCCCAGCACTGGGGAGACAGAGGCAGGCAGATATGATCTCTGTGAGTTCAAGGCCAGCCTGGTCTACAAAGAGAGATCTAGGACAACCAGGGCTACATACAGAAAAGAGAGAAGTGAAGTTCTAGAGTTTGTCTGAGTAGAAGGCAGGTATCCAGTGCCCCCCCCACCCCAGGTCTAAAGGGGAAAAATCCTAGAGATCAGGAATCAAGACCTTCCAAGTCACTCATGCCTGGAGATCTCACAGAGACAGCTCTTACGCAGATCTTTATAAAGTGGGGTCACCGGATGCACACCTAAGAAGTGCTATTAATGAGGGAAGTGTGGAGGCTTCTGTGGTGTGGGTCTGAGCTACCCATGTCTCTCTCTCCCTGTTGGCAAATCTGGATCATTTCCAGTCTGTTTTTCACTGGAGAGAGTTTATTCCTGGCCAGAGTTGTGAGACACCTGTAAAAACCACAGACAGCCTATGGGCTCCCTCCAGAGCTACAGGCAAACCATCGTCACGTGGCAGCAGTGGGAGTGGTTGTTTGTCCCAGAAACATGAGGCATCACCACAGTATTAACTGCAAACAATTAAGTCAGGACTCCTACATGAGCATCACAGCTCAGTCATGAGGTTGAAACTCTCAACTAATATACAAATACTAAAAAGAGCCGGGCGTTGGTGGCGCACGCCTTTAATCCCAGCACTCGGGAGGCAGAGACAGGCAGATCTCTGTGAGTTCGAGGCCAGCCTGGTCTACAGAGTGAGTTCCAGGACAGCATCCAAAACAATACAGAGAAACCCTGTCTCGAAAAACCAAAAAAAAAAAAAAGAGACTCTCAACTAATATACAAATACTAAAATAAAAAGAAGGGCTAGAGATAGCTCCAGGCTTAGAGGTACAAAGTGCTTCTTGCTTTTGGAGAGGACCAGGTTTTGGTTCCCAACACCAACACTGGGTGACTCAACCACTGGCAAGGTCAGTTCCTGGGAGTCTAATGCCCTCTTTTGCACTAGCATACACACGCAGTGCATATGAAATTCACTCAGACACAAGCAGGCACACCGTTAAAAATAAAAGAATTCAGCTCTTTCGAATGTAGGCTACTCAGAGGCCTTTAAAACATCGCACTCCAAAGCTGAGGTTTGAGAATGGTGATAACTCAAGAAAACAAAGAGCTGGGTGTTGGTGGTGCACATCTTAATCCCAGCACTCAGGAGGCAGAGGCAGACAGATCTATGTGAGTTCCAGGTCTGTCTAGTCTATAGACTGAGTTCCAGGACACCCAGGGCTACATAGTGAGACCCTGTCTGAAAAACAACAACAGCAAAACCAGACAAAACAATAAGAACAAAAGAAACCAAGAGGAAGAAGTAGAGGTTGGAGAGATACAGAGGACCTGGGTTAGGTTCCTAGCACCTACATCAGGTAGCCCACAACTACATATAACTCCAATTCCAAGTGATCCAGTGTTCTCTTCTGGCCTCCACGGGCAATGAAAAATATGGAACACACTCAGACAAGTGGGCATACACATACATATACGAAAAAGAAACAAGCAGACAAAGAGGGCTATGGAGGGTATGTAAATTTCTCAGCTTGTAGAGCTATGGGAGTGCTGGAAATTGAGTCTTGTGAATGAGTAGGAAGCTTGGCTTCCATTCTTGGTGAGGCAGCATTGCTTTTTATTGCTCATTTAAAAACATACCTTGGGGGCTGTGGTGTTTGTTTGGTTGTTGGTGGTTTGTTTTTGAGACAGGGTTTCTCTTACTAACAGCTCTGGCTGTCCTGGAACTTACTTTGTAGATCAGTCAGGCCTTGAACTCACGGAGATCCCCCTGCCTCTTCCTCCTGAGTGCTAGGATTGAAGGTGTGCCCCCCACTACTCCCAGCAGTTATGTGGGTTGTAGTTTGCCAACAAAAGGCAAGAGAGAGAACAGCTGAGAGTGATCCAAACAAGAGTTGATGTTGACTGGAATATGGGTAGTCACAAAGATAGAAAGGAAGGAGGCCAACTGTGCTACATTTTGGAGATATTATCAACTTGTATTAAGAAAGGAGGATTAAAGAGTATACTTACATTTTTTTGCTTAGAGATGGTGGTGAAGTACTTGCGCATGAGCAAGCTTGGAGGCTGAAAATTAAGTGTTTTGTTTTGATCATAGCGTAGTCTTAAATATCTTGGTCAGCTTTCTGTTGCCATGACAAAATACTTGAGGCACTATGCTTTATAAAGAAAAGAGGTTTACTTAGCTCTCAGTTCTGGAGGCCAAAAATCCTAAATCAGCCAGCTCAATTGATTCAGCCTCTGATAAGGGCCCCACAGTGGATGGTGCCATAATGGCAAGGGGGTATACAAAGAGATGGTAAGATAAGAAGACAGAGATTCAAGGACCAGACCCACTGTTTCCATAACAAATTACTCTTGTAGGCACTAACCATGGTCTGTGAGAACTGTATTAATCCTTTCTGTAGATGATGCCTGTGGGAACAAAAGACCTTGGCTGGAGGCCCACTTCCCCATCAGCCTGGGAGCAGGCAGCTGTAAGACAATGTTTACTAAAAACATGTTTACTAAAAACAATCCAGTGCCCTAAGAAATGTTTACCGGAGCAATAAGTTCCCGATGATAAGGGCTTGCTCACTGAAACACCCTGACTTTGATCTTTCCAATGGCTAGCCGCCTCTTCCTGCCCCCTGCCGCTGACTCTGGTGTCAGGGACATATAACCAGCCAGGGGGAGGGAAAGGGAGACTGAAGCTTTTATTGAGGGAAGCCCTTCTTGGGAAGTCTTCTTGAGCCTTCTTGGGGCCAGCATAAAGTTTTCTTTACACCACCAACTGGTCTCTGTGTCACCAATCCCGACACCCTCCACACATTCTCGGATACAGGCTGTGCAGTGGGCGCAGCAGATGCCCTCAATGACCTTATCACCTTCCACTTGGCTCCCACATCTCAAAGGTTCCACTGCTTTCCAGCCTGGACCTTAGGCACCCAAACCTTTAGGGGGACACATTCAACCATATTCTAACCATAGTACCAAGTCTACAGACATCCAATCAGAAGAGGCAAGAAAAACATTTGGAATCAGTCTAGATTTTCTTTTTTGTTTCTTTTGGTTTTTTTTTTTTTTTTTTTTGAGACAGGGTTTCTCTGTGGCTTTGGAGGCTATCCTGGAACTCGCTTGGTAGTCCAGGCTGGTCTTGAACTCACAGAGATCCGCCTGCCTCTGCCTCCCGAGTGCTGGGCGAGTGCGACCAATGCCCGGCTTAGATTTTTTATCTTAATTAAAAAAAAAAAGATTTCTAGGAGTGGAGAGATGGCTCAGCCAGTAAGAGCACTGGCTGCTCTTCCA